AGTTGAAGATTATTAAGTCAACAGCACAATCTAAAACTTCGAAACAAAAAATTCTTACATTTGCTTCATCGTAATCAGATAGGTTGGACAAAAGCTCGTTCCAGATGCCATCCATGGATAGTATCGTTTCAGCTACAAACAGAAAATAAAGAGAAATCGAAATCCAAGTGTCGTGTTCTTATAGCCAGAGAGTGGAGACTTGCGATTCCTCTATACCTTGTGTAGATGGCGTCGTTGATTTGGCGATACATTGTGCAGATAGCGTCGACTCGCCCGATTTTCTTTCGACTAATCAAAAAGAAAGAAAATTCAGTGTAGTTTGGTTAGTGTGAATTTCGCGCTTTCCTGCTGGGAAAAAAAGGAACGCTCTAGAATTCAATATCTAGTCAGCGATTCATCCTCGCGGGATAGCGTCGAGTCTCCCGATGCCAAGCCCACATTATCGAGTCTGCTGGGCTTGGAATGGAATTTAGCTCACGAGTTCATGGCTGGAAAGATGAATTTTCTTGTAATCCATAAACTCAAATGTAAAAAATAAATAAATTATACCGATTATCACTGTATTTTATTCTTTTTTTATTTTATTTATTATACTTTAAAATCGATCAATTTTCACATTGAATTTATTTGTAATTAACTTTCTGGTGACTCAACTATTTCTAGGGGTGTTCGCGGTCGGTTTGGATCGGTTTTTGGCTAAAAATTCATTCGATCCGAAAGTATAATTTTTTGCGGTTTGGATCGGTTTGGATGTTTCTAAAAAAATCCGATCCGATCCGATTAAATGCGGTTTGATTCGGTTTGGATTTGTGCGGTTTTTGGATTCTAATTTTTCAAAATTCTGTTATTGCCCATGATGACATAAAAACATCAATCACAAAGGAGGATAATATTTAGTTAAGAATAATCTTATAAACAAAGGGTTATTTGCATGGTAAGAACAGATTAAGAAGGTATCGACAAATAAAAAAATTAGTTAAAAAATGTATTGCTAAAAACAAATTGATTTCTAGTACCAATACAGTTTCCAAAAAGCAGGGCAGTGGTGGTCAAAACCCTGTACGTATGTCTGGCAGCTCTTACAGTATCTTACTCTCATTTGCAAAAGAGAACTCTGGAAGACATGGTGAGCTCAATTAGAAACAAAATTTTGAATGAGGTTGATAGGAAACTCAGTCTTAAATTCACTGGTAGCATTCAATAGAAGGAAAAATTGCACATTTCAAATGAACTTTACTTGGTAAATACATTTTGAAACTTCAAGAAATTAGACGCCTAATCAGTTACTTCAAGCATTTTCCAACAATGTGCATGTTAATATTATTCTATTTTTACACTTGCATCACATTGAACAACAAAAATGAAATCAGACAACCTCTTTGTGTGTTCTAACACCAAGAACAGAATTTCCATCAAGTTATCCATACAGAACGACTCTTGTACTGTTTTGGGTGAAGAATTCCCTACTGGATTTTGTCTGTTCCATAACTTGCTCTTAACGTTATTGTACTGTTTTCTTCTCAATCCCGTCAACTACATTAAAATCAAATATAGTCATTGATATGCTTATCAGTTTTCCTTATCAACCATTACCTTCCTTGCTTAGTCCCCACTGAATGAGTGACTCGAATTTTCATCGAGCAACTTTCAATCAGATTTCAAAAATTAGTAAATACCATGTGTTCTTTAAATACCATGTGCAATTGATAAAACAATTCAAAATACCAGATCCATTAACATGCACTTGCATGCAATCTAAAACCACATCCTTAAACCCAAATTTCGATAAGTATGAAAAGACAATTAGAAAGCAGAACAAGTGGGGAAATTCCAGTATGAAAATATGAAAAGAACTGTACTTGGCTCACCTTTTGCTGAAACAACGATTAATCAGAAGAGCATTTTCTTGAGTTTTCCCGGAAAACAAACAACAAAATTACTCAGCCCAAACTGCAATCGAAAAATAAAGTGGTTAGCAATTGACTGCATTAAGCAAAACAGAAGGAAAACAAGGTGCAATGCTGAAAGAAAACCAAAGAAGGAAAACCTATTGTCGCAAATCAGCCGCTTGGCTTTCTGTTCAAAGGGTCAAAGGACAGAGGAAAGGAATAGGATGAGAAGAGGCGGAGACGTGAATAAAATTGGGAAAATGGGTTAGGGTTTCAGTTTTTACACCAAACTTGAAACGGTGTCGCATGGAGATAGCTAACACTATCGGTTCGGTTCGGTTTGGATCGGTTCTGGATTTTCAAACCGAAACCGAACCGAACCGATCGGTTTTTTTAAAAAAAAACCAAACACACTAAATCGGTTTCGGTTTTTTTCGGTTATCGGTTTTTTGGATTGATTTTCGGTTATTTTTTTGGATCGGATTGGATTTGAACACCCTTGACTATTTCCCCCAATAACAGATAATTTGGATTTGTTATTATATTTTTAGTTATCATTTTTCAAGTCAGAATAAAATAAAAAAGGGATAACTATCCTCCACCTTATTATTTCCTCTCTATTAGAATACATTAATAACTATCCTCCACCTTATTATTTCCTCTCTATTAGAATACATTAACTGTAATTAGTTAGATGCTTTAATCTATTTTTAATACGATTAATTAGTTAACATTATAGTTGTAAACAGATTTGTAACCTTTTTTTGTATGTAAGTGAAAGAAATCATTCTTCCATTTCCAGGTTCTTGTTTGTTATATGGTATCAGAAGTTTGATTTTTTTTACGCTTTATCATGGTTGATTCCTTAAATGATAGTTTCGATAATTGGGTAAATCCTTATTATTTGTATCAATCTGATAATTCAGGTATGATATTGGTGAGCCAGCTGCTTTCTAGTGATAACTTTCATAGTTGGAAAAGATTGATGATGCTTGCCCTCTCTGTCAAGAAAAAACTTGGTTTCATTGATGGTTCCATTCCAACTCCTGATTCGTCCATGGTAAATCAGTTCAACGCTTGGATAAGAGCCAACAATTTGGTCAATTATTGGCTTCTCAATTCAGTTTCCAAAGACATTGATGCGAGTTTACTGTATTATACAACTGCAGTTGAAATGTGGAAAGATTTGATTGATCGCTTCTAGCAGTTGAATGAGCCACGATTGTTTCATTTAAAGAAGTGATTGTGTGAGCTCGTGCAAGATCAAATGTCAGTAAGTAATTACTACACTCAGTTAAAGATTGTTTGAGATGAATTGTTTTCGATTCGACAATTATGTAGTTGTCTCCAGTGTACTTGTGGAGGAGTACAACGTATGCTTGTTGAACAACAACAATAACAAGTCATTCAATTTTTAATGGGGTTGAATGAGTCTTATGCTCATATCATGGGCCATATTCTTTTAATGGATCCCCTTTCTCCCATTTCAAAGGTGTTTTCTTTGGTTGTTCAAGAAGAGAATCAAAGAAATATGCAACATGTTCATCCTATTTTTGAGCCTACCTTTGTTGTCAAGGCTCATTCTGGCACTAGTAATCGCAAGAATATACCCTTGTGTAGTCATTGTAATATTCTTGGTTACACAAAGGACAAGTGTTATAAGTTGATTGGTTATCTGCCTAATTATAATTCCAAGAATTGGTCTTCTTCGAATTCTTCTCGTGGTAAAGGTACTCAAGTGGCTCACTCCAACTTTGTGGTTTCTCAACAAGGTTCTTCTACAGTCACTGAAGATTTCACTCCCGAGAAATGCCAGTAATTTATTGTTATGCTTACTACTCAGTTACAAACTACATCTTCTTTGGATATTCCTACCACTTCAATTAATACTGCCATGCAAGGTAAGATTATGTCACACATAAATGGTTCATGTGTTGGGGTGTATGATTACTGGATTTTAGATTCTGAGGCTTTAAGGCATATATGTTATTCAAAGACTCTCTTTGAATCTTTATTTTCCATAACAAGTTGTTCAGTCACCTTGCCTAATGGATCCACTATTCTAGTTAGCTTTGTAGGCACAGTTCGATTTTCTTCTGATCTTATTTTACATGATGTGTTGTTTGTTCCGGATTTTCGTTTCAATTAGCTTTTAGTTAGTGCATTATTGAAATCTTCTGATCTAAAAGTGTTGTTTTACAAAATGGATTGCTTAATTTGGGATTATTGGTTCCCTCTCAAACTGTAGATTGAAATCTCTGGCCCTAGTGAAGTGCATGGGAATTAAGGATGTGTCCTTGGAAGCTCCTTTGTCCTCCCCTTGCAGTTCCCTTAAATCCTTGTCGATAAGGAACTGCACAGGCTTCGAGACTTCCAGCCTGGCTATGGTGGGAAAATTGTGCCCTCAGCTTCAGCATGTAGATTTGAGTGGGCTTTATGGCATCACAGATGCTGGTCTTCTACATCTTCTCGAGTCTTGTGTGGCAGGACTTGTGAAGGTGAATCTGAGCGACTGCTTAAATTTGACCGACGAGGTAGTTTTGGCCTTGGCCAGGCTACATGGAGGTACCCTCGAGTTGCTCAATCTCGATGGTTGCAGGAGGATTACCGATGCAAGTTTGGTGGCAGTTGCCGACAGTTGTGTCTTCCTCGGTGATCTGGATGTGTCAAGGTGTGCAATCACCAATGCTGGTGTTGCTGCTTTGTCCCGTGCAGAACAACTAATTTTGCAAGTACTTTCTTTCTCAGGTTGCTCCGGAGTGTCGAACAAAAGCATCCCATTCCTGAAAAGATTAGGCAAGACCCTCTTAGGGTTGAATCTCCAGCACTGCAATTCAATCAGTAGTGGAACTGTTGAGCTCCTTGTAGAGAGCTTGTGGAGATGTGACATCCTTTTCTAATATTATCATTCAGCACAGGTTTTTTGGTCCAACAAACCGGTCATGCTCGTTGCTCTATGGCTTGGTGTTTTCCTGGGTACCTTGGCTTGTTTTTCGGATGGCCTGTCCATCCCATTTTTTGCAGGCTTTCTGGACACGGGAAAGTCTGATGTCATGTTCGAGCCCCCGTCCACCGGAGGCGTTTTCGTAGCCGTGGTTCACGGAGAATTCTATGTTTGGTGGCTTTCCATCAACTGCTTGTAAGTATATTCTTAAAATTCTATACTGATGCAGTCTCTTATGAAGGAAACAAGATGAATTATGCTTCACTCTCTTCAACCTTCGTCTTTGATGGCTGTCCTTAAAAGATGACATACATATCAGGGTTCGATGTGGGAGACCTTTCAGAAGATGCTCCTGATGATGTAGAGGGTTTGGATGCTGCTGCAGCTCATGTTGCAAATTTGTTATCAACAGAGCCCGCTGACAGTATGTTTCCTCGCATATTTTTTTTATGAGGGTTTATGATGCTATTCTTTTTCTCTCTTTTTTTTTCTTTTATTCGCGAGGGGGGAGTGTTTTCCATTTCCCTTCGAGTATTTAGTTATTGTAATTGTTTTTGACATTGTTCTAATCCTGGCCTTCTCAAATTCCAGTTAAACTAGGTATTGGAGGTTTCAGTACGGGTGCAGCAACCTCTTTATACTCCGCGACCTGTTTTATTCACGGAAAATATGGAAATGGCAATCCATATCCTGCCAACTTGAGCACAGTAGTAGGACTTAGCGGATGGAAAATTTCACACGTCAAGGAGAGCATAGTAGGTTTCTAAGGAGCCATTAGGAAACTCCAAATGAATCATGTAGCATCCTTTATTCATTTAAGAGGATTTTGTAGTCAAGGAGAGCATAATGATGTCACTGTCATCAAGCCAAGACTAGAGAGTAAACAAGAACGTGTAAGGCTTGAGCCTTGTCAAGTTTATTTGTTAAAAGATTACGATGCACGATAATGCTTAACACACTTCAAATCTTAAGCTGATATGTACGTCTACTTACCATGAGAAGCCGAAAAGGTATAGTGTATTTCATTTGTATAACATGACGTACTTCTTGTTCAATCTTAAAACCCTTGATGTTGCCATCAGAATCTCCAACATACCTGCAAATTCAGAAATTAAATCGATATGAAAAATTCAATTGTCGCATGTGCTCTCTTGAAAGTTGAAATAACCTACAGTAGAGCAAAGAACCGAAGATAGACTTGCATGTAGGGACCAGTTTGCATAACTGCTAAAGATGTAATTTCTTCTTTAAAGACATGTGCATGAGACAAGAGCCTCTTTTCCGAGTCCCAAACCTACATTACAATTTCCATAAAAAATTAATTCCCATATGAAAGAGATCAGAAAAGAAGACATATTTATAGGTAAAGTATAGAGCAAGAAGACATATTTGTTTGTAAAAGTAGACATATATATAGAAACTACTTTTACAAACAAATAATATAAAAATACAATGTCCTAAATTTTATTTTTAATAATTTTTCTTAGAAAGCAAAGAAATAGAAAAACATAAAAAGAGAAACCAAACCAGGCATACATAAAAATGAATTGGTCACATGCAGAACCGACAAACCTTTGCAAATGAAATAACGGTTTAAAACAACACTAACATGTAATCAGAAAAGAAAACCCAAAATGTCAACAGTTTATTAGATTTAGGTAAAAACAAAATCCCAAATATATAATTAGAAAATAAATCAAATTTTTAAAAAACCCAAAAAAATCAATAAACATGGCCGCATCTACATTCATCACAATGTATTTTTGATAAGAAGTGGAGGTCTCGTTAGAAATTAGAACACCATAAGGTGTTCCAGAAATCAGCGGAAAGAAGAAAAAAGTGCCTCAAAATTTTATTAATAAAAGAGTAGTACAATGCATATGATTACAACCAAACTTATGCCCCGTACAATAGATAAAACCAAAAAACGAGAAAAAAGCAAAACTAAACCAAAACTCCCTATCTTAGCCAATTTCAGACTTTGCTAAAACGTCTACCTCTAAGTTTGCTAGCCTAGGTATCCAACGAATAACGCCCTCCAAGTTCCTTATCTTATCCGCAATTTCTTAATCCACTCCACAAACAACTTACTATCACTCTCAATAATCAACCGTCTCTTAGAGCACCAACTAGAAGATTCAAAGAAAATTAAACCATGTTTAATGACCTTAAATTCCATTAAAGAATGACCCGGACCAGGAGCTTCTTGAAAAGATCCTAACACTGTGCCAGACTCGTCTCTTAGAATCCCGCCTAAATCGCAAGCCTTCCAATCACCATTAATCGCAAACCATGTTTTATTCACGGAAAATATGGAAATGGCAATCCATATCCATGATTCACACGTCCCATACTTATGCTTTGCAATCGCTTACATATATTTTTGTAATAATATAATCTAACATAAATAATATGTTGAAAGATAGCGTGACCTTCGTAATAAAGAAATTGTTATTATTCTTTGAACACTCGAGTTCAAGCATCATAAATATTAGGGGTGTGATTATCTAATGTCGAAAAGTTGAGAGTTATCCTTAAACATATATTGTCTTATACTTATCGTTAATAAAAAACAAAATTTTGAAACATAAAAAATTATATATAATGAAGGGCAAATTACATCGTTCTTCACTGAACTTTACTCTCTCTCCTATTTTACTCAACATACTTTTAGTTTTTCTAATTTAATCACTGAACTTTACAGATTGAATCATTTTACTCACTCTTTTGTTATCTCTCTAACGTTGTGACGGTGTATATTTTTTATTATTATTTAATCTAAAATGATAAATTACATCGTTCCTCACTGAACTTTACTCTCTCCTATTTTGATCACCCAACTATATAATAAAAACAGAAGGCTACAGGATGTTATTACCAGCCATTGTCGACTGTCGTAGATGATTACCGTTCGATCCCAAATTTCATATGCCCCTTCACCTATAAACCTTGAGTCTGAATCCGACATCCATTTTGATAGAATTTGATCCAAAAGTCCACGAATTAGAGATTGAAAGTAAGAAAGTCGAAATATTTTAGTCGATATTCACGGATTTTTAGATATTTTTTGATAAAACTGTCAACACACCTTTTCGTCCTACTAGGATTCAAACTCCTAAAAATAGGATAGAATTTTAATAGGATTTAAACTCCTAAAAATAGGATAGAGTTCTACTATGATTTAAATTCCTAAAGATATGATCCACAAGCACTATAAATAGCCATTGTAACTCACTATTGTAAGACACGATTTACAGACAAAATACAGAGGAAAACACGAAAAATACAAAGGCAAAGCTATTGTAAACGATTCGAAGTAATAAAGGTGAAAGCTTTTTTTATCTTTCGTTTGTTTCTCTTTACTCTTCACTTGCATGCGTTGTTAATCGTGTTTTCTTTGGAGAACCCCAAAGACAAATGTTTTAGCCGATGACTCAGAGGGAGTTTTTTCGAAACTTTGATTTCAGATCTACGCTCCCTAGAGGCTATTTCGCAAAAACAAATTACATTTTTGGAATGAGAGTACGAAAATCTATCAAAAAATGAATTTTTTTTATTTTTGCCGGTTTTAATCTTCAATGTTCTTTGACATTTACCCACTTAATTTACATTCCTTTCATTTTAATCCCTTAATTAGTTTTATATATATATACATACTTGCTAATTTTATTTTTAATTTATCACTTTTTTAATTTTTCTCTATTTATATACGTTATTACCCATATATATATTTATTTTCTTTGCATTTTTATTATTACTATTATATTTATTATTATTTTTACTATTATATTTTCCTTTTATTCTACTTATTTATTATATATGTATATTTTTATATTTTATTATTATTATATTTTTATTTTCTCTTTCTTTTTATTATTCTTGTATTATTACTTGTATTATTTTTATATTATATATATATATATATATGCATATGTTCTTTTTAAATATTTTAGTTTTTATACCTATTATTAATATATATTTGGTTTTTTTTATTTTAAGTGTTATATTTTATAATATTATACATATATTTTTCTATTAATTTTCTATATTTTTTATTATCATTATATTATATTTATTTTCTTTTTTTATTGATATTATTGTTGTTATATATACATTTTACTATTATTATATATATATATTCTACACAAGTTAATTATATCTACCTACTTTGTCCCCATCCCCTCGTCATTTTTTTTCTTCCTGTCAATTATACTTCACCAAACATTACTTTCTTTTCTTCCCTTTTCGGTGTGATTGTCTTTTTTTAACTACTTATTATCATTATTAGTATTGTTACTATATATATATATATATATATATATTGTAATTATCTTTATTTGTTTTTTTTACCATTATATGTGTATATGTTCTTTTCTTCATTAATTTATTAATTTATATATATTTACTTTTTATTTATTATATATATATATATTATTCGTACTTTGTTATTATTATTTTGTTTATTTGTTTTATTTATTTTTTTTTTCTTTTTCTTTATTATATATATTTTATTATTTATTTTTTTACTTATTATTTTATCTTTGTTTTCTTTATTTTATCATTTTACTTAATTTGTTTTCTTTTCATTTTAATTTAATTAATTAATTTCTTACCATTTTATATAACATGGCTTTTTTACTTTCTTAAGGGTACATTTTCAATCAATCAAATGTAAGTTTTGGATCGTTATTTTACCTTTCAATTTAAACTTTCAACTTTCTTAATTAAAGACAACTAGAAATTACATAGTACCGAAAGGGCGGTTCAAGGGTGCTAATTCTTCCTTGACCGTAACCGACTCCCGGATCCGACATATCACTGGTAAGACGCAGATAGGGCACTTTTCGTAAAGTAAATGATCGGTGGCGACTCCCAATCCAGTTTTCACATCGAAGCCCAATTCCGGGGCACAACCGAAAGACGTTTACGACAGCTTGGCGACTCCGCTAGGGAGACAGGTAAGTGAGTCAGGCTAAGATAATTTCCAGTTGTCTTTTTAATGAAAAGGGTAAGTTTAAATTTTAAGGTAACATTTCGATCCTTATTACTTACTTTTGATTATATTTTCGAGTAAATAGTTGTACTGACCGTTTTTTAATGATTTCAACCCTTAAAGATTTTTCATCTAAGGCTCTAAACTCGAGCTCCAAACCCTGCTTTAAGTGGGGGTGAAAGCGACGCCTTTGTGTGAATTTATTCATCGTGCGTGAATAAGGGAATGTGTCCCTTCGAGTTTAACTTAGTCCACACAAGCCTGTGATGGGTTTAGGACTAAGGGTCTGGCAAGCCCAAGGGGGCACCGGCAAGCCCAAGGGGGCACCGGCAAGCCCAAGGGAGCACCGGCAAGGAGAACTCGGGTACCATTTTTAGAACCTAAACTGGGAGACCATGGAGAATTAGAGCCTACCCCGAAACCACATTTCCGAAACCTATGATATTTTTACCTTAACCATGTCTTTTTTTTCCTTTCGACATTTATTTATTTATTTATTTACTTTACTAACATTTATGCCTTTGTGTTTGTTTTTTTATCATTTGCATCATAACAAGAGGCTATTGATCCTTAAAAAGCGTTTGTTACACACAAAATAATCTGAATTAATGGACAAAGGTGTTGTAATACAAGAGATTAAAAACGCCGAGGCACGACTATGGTCCGAGATGACTCAGAAAGAGAAGGGAGACAGTCTTCAGGAGAACTACGTGTCAGAGCTGATTAGCTATGCCTCTGTCAGTCTGAAACAGAATGATGTCCAAGAGTTGCGAA